GGAAGGTTTTAACAGAAAATCATTGAAATGTGCAGAACCAGGCAGTTTATATCCCATGTACAGGGTTTAATTTTAAATTGTGTTGCCTGACTAATGGGTGCTTACCTAATGTAAATTAATATTGGGCTGTATTATTAATGCTCATAAAGAGATCTATATTTTGATCCATATTTTAGAATTCTCTACCTAATGGCCTTTAGTGTAGGTATGCACAGCTTTAAAAATAGAAGGGCTCAGCCTGCGAGCTTCTACCTCCTGTAAATACTGATCAAGTGGTTCATTCAGAATTCAAATAAAGATCCATTGTCCTCCCAGTGCTTGCATAATAACACTGCAACTCCCCATTTGAAAAAATAGGATATTTTTAGGGTGGAACACAGCCTCCTGTTTTCCTCCAGCGTTGGGGTGGGAATTGTTTAATTGGGGTCTGAAGCCCTTCCTGCGTTTGTGGGGCAGGGTGTGCAGGTGGGTGCTGTTCCAAGGGCACAGCAGGAATGGGAACAGCTCCCTCAGCTCCCTCAGCTCCCTCTGCTCCCTCTGCTCCCTCTGCTCCCTCTGCTCCCCGGTCCTGTCCCACACAGCAGCACAGAGGAGGCTGGAGCTGCCTCCAGGGATAGACCTGGCTTGGAAATGCACTCTGCCCGAAGGGGATCCTGTTCTTCCTGCTGCCCTGGAGGAGCTGTCCTGGGGGAGCTGAGGATGGCACAGGGCTGCCAAAAGGAGGCTCCTCCAAAACTCCTGGGCAGAACAGACCAGCTCCACCCACTGTGCTGCCCGGAGCTGGCAGATCACACTGACAGCCCGGGATCCAGAGCAAAATTATCCTTTTAAGTTTTGATTAGTTTTTTTCCCTCTGGAGTCAATTTATCAGAAGGGCATTGTGAAGCATCACTGAGGGAGTGGCAAACTGGGATGTGGGTGACTGGTCAGCAGAGGAGCATGGAGGGATGGGAGTTTGTTTTCCCACTGCTTGATGAGCACCTTGGGTTCCTTTTCCTTT